CGTGGCCGTGGGGTACTTGGCTACACATCAGCAGCATGCCCACTCAAAACATCTGGGACCATCACATCTTTCCTTACCCCACTGCTGGACACACTTAACACAGGAGACATCTATTTGTCTTAAATTTAGCAACCACATTGCTTTGCGTTAAGATGTGATGGCCAGAGAGACGTCAGCTCAGGCCTGAGTGGAGATCAGAACTCAGATGCCAGCACAGAGTGGCTCGTCACTCTGGGCACAAGCAGAGAGGAGGGCTCAGGGCAGGGTGTCCCATAACACACCTGTATATGGAGACATTCTCAATCAGCTCGTTAGTTCCACTGTCATTTAGCACAATCCCTCTGGGCGAGACTTTCAGCGTAACTTTCTGCAGTTTCTTTCCACTTGCTTTTGCCTTTGGAAGGAAAAGAGGGAGGGGAAAGTTACAGGCTTTAAGCAGAGATATCCAAAGCTATACCAGCACAACCGATCAGTCACTCTAAATAGGCAAGAGATACTACTAGCAGCCTGGGTTTACTACCACATATGATAAGGCACTTGTTAAAATGTTTCCTTCCCTTCTGCAGCAATTTATGCTTAGTGAGACAAGATGTTTACTCCAGACAGTGGGGAGGAACTAGTCCAGCACCTCCACCACAAGAACATCATTAGCACAAAACCACAGCTGCTCTGGCTGAGCTATGCAAAGCTGTGAGTGCTTGGTAGAACCTGTGGGAGTTTTCCCTCTAGGGACAACTCCAGAGCCGTGGGGGCAACAGTGCAAACTCAGGGAATCAGGAGGGTACCAGCCCTCGTGGGAGCTGTGCTGACAGCAGGGCAGCCCTGCAGGATGTGGGATTACAGGCAGACAGCTTCGAGATGCCCTACCACATCCTGTTCAAGCAGCAAGGCATCCTTTGTACCAAGGACAGGATGCTAGCTTAAAAAGTAATGACTCAAGTGCCACTTTCTTTTATTTACTACTCTTCTGCTTTCCGGAGTTAGGCTGCACACAGCTTATTGCTGATTCTCTCAAAAAAAATATCCAACTCATTGCAGCCCAAAGACCTGAACCAATGGGAGGGTCACCAGAGCTGTGCCAGATCAGCTGATAGTGAGTCCTGCCTCTAGGGGTAGGCTCAGCCCTGAGGTATTTATTTAAAGGCTCCATTCTCACTCTCTCAGAGCAGATATGAAGGGACCTGCCAGCATCTCCCATGAGCACTCCCCTCCCTTACAGCTCAGCATAAGTCAGGAAAGGATCCGTCATTACCCAGCACAGTTCACCACTCTATTGTGCCTTATGGCAGTTAGCAGCACAATTGTGGCTCTGACTCATTCAGTTTTATAATGGATTAAAGAAGCATTATTTTTACTTGGACAGTCCTGTGAGAAGGGGCACTGGGGAGGACAGCTGCAAATCGGTCCCTCTTGCACCACAGATTAAAGCAGGATGGGTGGCTGCACTGTCTGAGAATTGGAGCAAACTGTGCTGCTCTCTTCTCCCTCTTAGTTCTCCAAATCCTGGGAAAGAAAACTCAAAAATGCATACCAGGCACAGGCCCAGAGCTTGGTCACGTGCTGGCAGCACTCAACACTGCCTCTGTCTTCCATGAAGAGAGCCTGATGTTCCCAGGTCACAGCTTTCTTCCACATCCAGGGTCAGCCAAGCTTATCAAGCAGCACCAGAACCCAGACACACAAACAGCATTCTGCAGCACAACCCCCCACAGGCTAGAGCTGCCCTGAAAGGCTTCCCACTGCTGCCCTGCATTTCTACCTGCAGTGCCAGATGCTGCAGAGAGGCCATGCTCACCTCGACAGGTGGAATTTACAGCTCTGATGCTCCCGAGTTTGCAGGCAGAGCGCTCTGCCTCCAGATTTGCAGCTTTTAAAATCATCCCCAAGTGACAGAAGGTGACGTGTGCCTATTCTGCAAAGTTTTGCATCTGCAGATACTCACAGTGGCAACAATCCTTTTGACAGCAGCTGCTGAGAGCTCCTCACCCTTCGGCTGCTCCACCAACGTCATGCCCAGGTACTTGAGGCTGAACAGCACCCCTTCCAGCAGCGTCTCTCGGGTATCGGTCCAATTCTCCGGGAGCTCTGATGAGGCAATAAAGAGGACCTTAGGGTCCCAAAGAAGCAGCTTGCCGGGTGGGCGCTGCATTTTGCTGGCTGGCTGCAACTCGGATTTCACCAGGTGTGGGTGGAGCGTGACGGACCTGTCCTGGCACCGCCTGCAGCGAGGGGTAACTCAGGCAGGGGAGGAACCAAGGAGAGCAGCGTGGGAACCACAGGGCTGCAGATAGGAGCCGCCAGGCTGGATGCACACGAGCTGGATGCACACGAACAGGCAGCGCGCAGCGACAGGCAGGTGCTGCTCCGCGAGCAGAGCACACGCGAGCCGTGCTGCAGCCGGTGGGCAGCAGCGGCGAGCGGACCCAGATCCCCGCAGCTCAGATCCCGACCCTGCGGGCGGCCGCACGGCACAATTCGGGAGGGCGATCCGCCTCACCTCCCGCAGCCGCCGGCCCCGAATCCTCGCAAACAGGAGCAGGGATGGGACGAGCCAGGAAGTTCGCTCCTGCCTTCCCGGCGCCTTCCCGTAGGGCGCTCCTCACAGCGCCGACCCGCACAGCTGCCCGGGCCGGGCGGCGCCTCGGACCCCCGGCGCCGATCCCCACCCCCCCCCCCACCACGAAGCGGGGGCAGAACCGGGCCCGAACCCCGCGGGCTGCGGAGCGGGAGCAAAGGTGGGGAAAGGAGGGAAGGCGGAGGAAGGGCGCGGGGCGGCTCTCACTCTGGTGGCGGCCGCCGGCCCAGGGCGGTTTGGTGACGCTGGGGCTGCGCAGCAAAGCGCGTCCCGCCGAGCGCAGCGCGTCCATCCCGCCGCGGCACTTCGGCAACTTTCGCTCCGCTCCGCGCGTCCGAGGGCGGGGCTTGAGAGAGGAGGGAGGAGGGGGCGGCACAGCGCGACGGCGTGACGTTACGTTACGTAGAGTGACGCAAGGCGACGTAACGTGATGACGCAAAGCGGCGTAACGTGACGTAATGACGCAAAGCGACGTGAGGCGCTCGGAGGCCGCAGTCGCTCTCGGCGTTCTGTCGGGCGCGGCGCTCAGCGCGTTCCGCTGCGATTCAGTGCAAATGGATTCTCGGCCTTTTTTCCCCCCTTCCATAGAGCCCGTGCAGACCGGGGTTATTCTTTTAGCACTATTATTTAGCACTAAGCAGTTGCAGACGTGGCTGCGCTCCGATGGCAGCCAGCGCGGCCCTGAGGCGGGCTCTGAGGTGAGGAGATGGCGGCCGGCGTTTATGCTTTATCCCACGTTCACGTTGGCTGCAAAAGGTTCTGCGCGGGATCTGCTAACAGCTGTAACCCCACAGGGAAAAGAATGCAGCCGAGGCCGAATGCCGGAACCTCAGCACTGATTGCAAACGGTGCTGAAAGAGGCAGCAAAACGGGGAACCTCGGCACAAAAAAGGTCAGTGATGCCATTTCATGTTCACAGAATCACAGAATGGCCCAGATTGGAAGGGACCTCAAGGATGGTGAATCTCCAACCCCCTGCCACACGCAGGGCCACCAACCTCCACATTTAATACCAGCCCAGGCTGCCCAGGGCCCCATCCAACCTGGCCTTGAACACCTCCAGGGATGGACGGGGCATCCACAGCCTCTCTGGGCAGCTGTTCCAGCACCTCACCACTCTCATAACAAGGAACTTCCCCCTGACATCCAACCTCAATCTCCCCTCCCTCATCTTCAAGCCATTTCCCCTTGTCCTGCTGTTATTTACCCTTTCAAAGAGTTCTGTGCAATGATGGGAAACCTCCAGCAGTGGTGAGTGTTGGTGAGAATTACAAAGGATGAGCCAAAAAATGCAGCTGACAGTGACATGCACACCTGGCTGAAGCTCCAAGTTTATCCCAGAATAAAATACCTGTGCTGGAAATGATGAAACTTTAATATTTTTACTATGTTGCGTGTCCTGCTTTGTTTGTTTGTTTGTTTGTTTGATGAGCTGCACCAATTAGTAGAAAGCCTTAACAAAAAGCCTTTCAGAAGCACTTTGTCTTTCCAGACTCCATGTTTGGAAACCCACAACGTTGAGTTTATTCTGCTCCTTCCCAATGCAGTTTTATTTCCCATCCTTCCAACCCCCACCCTCAAAATAATCTGCAGCCCTTTGGATGTCAGCAGTGCCAACGTTTCTTCTACCAACCTACTAATTTTAATTTAAACCTTTGTGCAATTTAAAAAACTCCTTAAAAACCTCCTTGGCACAACGGCTGAAAAAATATTCAGCTCCGTTGAAGTTTGCACACATAAGGTGATAGAAAAAAAGTAATAATAATAAAAAACCAGAACTGCAGCTTTTATTAGCCAGCTTTACAGTCTCTTGTATACAGTACATTGCACAGCTCTGCCTTCACAACGCTTCCTGGGTTAATATTGTGCCTTCTGTGATGCTGTATCATCAAGGCAAGTTACAGAACACTGCTGAGTTTATATCGAAATAAACAGAAGATGTAACCTTGGTTTATGATGAACATCCAAATTACCATGTACAATTTGCAGCAGACTCTGTAATGAGCTTGATATAAAGCTAGATGACAGCGAAGGGGGGAAAAATAGTTTAAACTATCAAGTTTCCTCTTGAAATGTCTTTTCCCAAGGCACTGTGAACAAGACTGTCAGCAGTTCTCAATGACCAGAGACACCAATGGGAGCATAAATATTTCACACAACAACCACGGTCGCATCCTCACCCATTTCCTCCTGCTTTCCCTTAAGCAACACCCCTGAATTTTGTTTGGTCCTTGGACGGGGGAATTAAATTCTCTTCCTCAACACCTTCTATTTGTATTTAACACATCTATCAATCAAAGCTTTGTTGGATTATTTAACCCTTTCACTGTCAAAACAAAAGGTTTTTCCTCACTCTTTCTCAGTGGATCTGATTGGCAAATTCAACTCGACTGTTTAAAAATAAAAACAACGGGAGAAGAAAGGGTTCAAAATCAAGCAAAGCCCTGTATTTTCAAGAGGAAACCATGCACAAGTACATAAGAAGGCAAAATTGGCTACTTGAAAACCAAGAATTGTTTTTAATGCATTGGCCAAGGAAAATAAATTGCAAAGTTCTGTGAGGTTTTCTAAAAATTTACAAGAAAAACTGATGGGCAGTTCTAGTCGATCCAGATGTTCTTTTTTTGTTGTTTTTGTTTTTTTTTTTCCTGTTTTTAATGACAACAAATAACAGTCTCACACGATACAATTTCATCTTGGACTGCAAGAGACACTCCTGTGTGAAAGCCTTCAGCACGGTGACGTCACCGGGCAAAACCAGAGTTGGCATTCATTTCTTCATGGGCTGATAAACAGAGGCATTGGGATCGAGTCCAGAAGGGCTGGTCTCCACAAATTTGGAAGAGTAATGTGGGGAAACGGGGCTGAGCGTGCTGGTGGCTGCGGTGTAGGTTATGCTGGGCATCACTGCCATCACTTCGGCAATCTTCTGTTTGAGCTCCTTGATTTCCTGATCTTTCTGAATGATTTGCCCTGAAATGGCAAAGAGCATCGCTGAGAAACAGCTGCACCTTCTCACCTTCCAGTGTTCTTTCTGTGATGAGCTGCTGAAGCCAAACGCCCAGAAGGGATTTGGCTTTTTGATATCCTAACAGCAACAGCAGACACGGTGCAGCTGCACCTGTGTCAGTGAGTGATGTTTACAGCACCACATCACACAATCAGATCTTCTATTCTGTTTTGCATCGTTTGGATCCACAACTGCACAGTGCCAAAATAGGATTTGACTCTGCACTGTCCCATTTGTCACAACCACCTCACGGGGGGGTTATTAAACACGTCATTCTCCTTATTTCCAAAGCTGTCCACACCATTTTTCTACACCCCCCCATATTCTACACCACCCCCACGCTCACAAACTCATTACAGCACTTTATGTAAGTACATAAAGAGCACAGAAGAAAAAAAAAAAAAAGATTCTCATTCTAAGAAAGCCTCCCTGCAAACGAACTCCTTCGAGGAAATTTGACAGCTACTAAACCGAGAGCTTCCTTCCTTTTGCTCCAGGGCCTGCCCAGCTAACAGCCAGCCCAGCAGAATTAAATGCTGGCTCCAAGCTCCCCCTGGTGGCACTCTATGCTTACAGACACCTCTCTGCTTACCGACGGGGGGAATTTTGGGTTTTTTCCCCCCACATTTTGGTCTATTTGCTTCAGGAGATTGAGGGACAGGGATAACAGACAGCACTGCTATCTTATCTTCTAACTCTTTCAAAGAAGTTCTCCAGCTTTGAAGAAACCATTTATAAAAATGGAGAAAATCCCAGGATGGCTTGGGTTGGGGGCCCAACATTCCCCATCTCCAACCCTCCCCACCACTCTGTTACCTTGGGCAATCTCAAGCTGCCGTTTCGCATCTCCTAACGCAGAGAAAAGATCCAGCTTGATCCGCGTCTCTGCGCTCAGGCTGTTCTCTAAGTGCTGTGTTTTATCCTGCATGGCTGAAAGTGCTGACATCAACACCTCCGTATCCTTCTCATTTTCCTTGTACTTCCTCAGTTCCTGTAGGAGAAATGAGGACAAATATTATTCCTGTAGGTTTCATGGATGAGATGGACTGAGAAGTCTTTCCCTTCCTTACAGCACACTACTGGGCCTGGTATTAATACAGTCAAATTAAAATGATGGTTATTTGAGGACACTGTAATATCACCTGCAGTGATATTACATCCATCACACAAATGATTGAAGCCATATTGTACAAAGGGCAGTTACAGTGCAGTGAACAGGTCCACAGAATCACAGAACGGCCAGGGTTGGAAGGGACCTCAAGGATCATGAAGCTCCAACCCCCACCACATGCAGGGCCACCAACCTCCACATTTCACACCAGCCCAGGCTGCCCAAGGCACCATCCAACCTGGCCTTGAACACCTCCAGGGATGGACGGGGCATCCACAGCCTCTCTGGGCAGCTGTTCCAGCACCTCACTGCTCTCTCTGTGAAGAACTTAAGGTCCCATTTCCCCTGCTGCTCAGCTCCTTACTCTGTACCACTGAGACCTTTCACCCATCCCTCCCAGCTGAGAGCTGCACAGAGCTCTTCTGCAAGCACAAAGAGCTAAGCTGTGGAATACAAAAGCAGCTAGAATGGGAACAAATCCCTTACCAGGAAGTTTGAAGCTATACTAAATAAAGACTGACTGCATTGTAAGCTATTTCAGTTGTCTGATGGGAGGGATTTCTTCATCTTTGCATGCTTTTTACATTTAACCAAACTGATGCAAACCCAGAAATGTAGAAAAGTGAAAAGGAGGGAGCAAGTATTGCATGGAAGTCAGTCACCTTGTGATTGGGAATGGCTATTTCTAGATGGTTGGGGTTTTTTTTTTTGTTGTTAAATTCCTTACATGCCAGCAGTGACATTTACAACAACACAGACTGCCAACAAGACCTCACATAGGACATAAGGTGTAGTGGGGATTATGTCTTCTTCAGTCTATCCTGATGACCAACCTAAATCATTTAAACATTTGAGTGGTGTGGAGCTGAGACCCATAACCTTTCTTATCCCCATCTTCTTACAAACTCTGATACAAGACACGCAAGAAAGGCATCTGAAGAGACCAATTCTTGAAGGTGTTGACTGCCTCTTGTGTAGATCCAGCAGTCTCAAGGCTCTGAAAGCACTCACTGTGATGCTGCTCTAAGCCCTGGCACTTTCTTGTTACCTGAACTTTCATTTCTAGTTCTCGTATCTGATCTTCTTTCAGCTTGATGTCAATGCTCAGCTTCTTGCACTCTGTCTCCAGCTCTCGGATACGATTCCGTAAAGTTTCAGTACATTCTCCTCTGCAAAAAAAGCATTAAAAGAGAAGACAGTGAATAAAAGCAGGAGGCTGTCAGCCCGGGATTGCTTATTACATGAAAAGTACTATCAGTATTGAAGGATAAGAAAGGAAAGGTAACTTTGTTCTTTTCAGTAGGAGGTTTTCCCTATGGCAATAATGAAAAACTCCACAGAGGTTTTCCAATATTACACCTCCAATTTTACAGTCTCCAATTTTATACCTCGAGGATTGGGAAGTTGCCTGCAACGTTTATGAACGATGGAGAACAGAAAAGCTGAAATAATGCTTTTCAGACACTTGGATCATTGCAATCATTGTCACTTGCATCATACTTTCATGTTAAAAACCATTCCATCTTACACCTGCATTAATACTGAAATATCACTGTGCTGAGCACTGGCAGTCAGTGGCTACAGCAGAATATTTCTGAGGAGCAACATAAAGGCCACTTTGGCCAACATCACTGCATGAAACCTTGATTCACAGCCCCCAGTGAAAGGGGAGATTCTGTTTTGAGAGGACTGACCCACGCAGGGCACAACAGCTCTCTGCCAGCATAGCCACTGCACAGCTGGTAACTCACAGAAACACAGAATGAACCACAGAACGGCCAGGGTTGGAAGGGACCTCAAGGATGATGAAACTCCAACCCCCTGCCACATGCAGGGCCACCAACCTCTACATATAATAGCAGCCCAGGCTGCCCAGGGCCCCATCCAACCTGGCCTTGAACACCTCCAGGGATGGACGGGGCATCCACAGCCTCTCTGGGCAGCTGTTCCAGCACCTCACCACTCACAGCAAAGAACTTCCCCATGACATCCAACCTCAATCTCCCCTCCCTCAACTTCAAACCATTTCCCCTTGTTCTGCAGTTATCTCCCCTTTCCAAGAGTTGATTCCCCTCCTGTTTGCAGGCTCCCTTTAGGCACTGAAAGGCTGCAATGATTCACCCTGCAGCCTTCTTTTCTCCAGGCTGAACAAGCCCAGCTCCCTCAGCCTGTCTTCACAGGGGAGGTGCTCCAGCCCTCTGATCATTGTAAACTCAGAGTGCATTCATCATCATGAGACATTTTCTGGAGCTGATATCCCTTCTGGGGCAGAACCACATACCTTGTAGCAGCAGCAAATGCAACAGCACGTGCAGCGGTCGCTTCTTCCAACTTCTTTCTCTTTTTTTCTTCCATTAATTGTTTTTCTACAAAGGCTCTGGCCTCTTGCTCTGCCTTTAATTTCTTCTCCAGCTGGCTGATCATCTGCTTGTCTTTTTGTTTCATTTGTACAGCATTGTGCAATCTGGAAGAAACCAGGTACAGGGTTTAGCACAGGTTTTCACTTACCACGAATAAATTGCTGTCACAAATCCCAAGCGAGTCTTGCTTTCTTGCAAGCACCTTATACTTTGTCAAGTCTTAACACAATATTTCCCCCTCCAGCAAACTCCAGCCATCAGCAACCATCTCACACAGCTTTCCAGAGCACCTACTTGTTCTGGAGCAGTTCGTTTTCCTGCCGGAGCTGCCCGATCTCAGACCGAATTCCCCGTTCTGTGTTGGTCAAAGAACTGATCTGGCTACGCAGCTCCTGCTCGATCTGCCTGCTTGCTTGCAGGTCAGCCTTTAACTTTTTAATGTCTTGTTCCAACCTAAGGCAGACAATTTTAAAAGACAACGTTCAGTTTAACAGACTGCACTTCCCACTTACCCAAGGGTTCCAGTGCATCAGATGATCAATTCAGAAATGATGCTTCTCTTTGCTGCATCATCTTTTAGGTAACTCTGCACACACAGCTCCACATACAGCTGTGCAAACTCTTCATAACCCCCACAGGAATTCTGTTCCCCTCCACGCACTGCAGCACTGTGGAACACCTGATGGAATCACCTCCTTCCCTCCAAGCACAAACGAAACTGATAAGGCTGAGAAACCCCCAGGGCTGACAGGTGACCACAAGAGCACATTTTTGCTTTTCTCACCCAATTCAGGCTGTGTTAGCGATGCTCTGCACTCCTGAGTTCTCACTAAACATGGTTGGGTTTTTCCCTCGAAGTACAAAATGTACATGTGTTATGTTATCCATAATTCAGGACTCGGTGAATTCACTTTCAATTCCTTCTGAACTGAGAGCATCTGCTATACACTCACTTGCAGCCTTAGCAAGTCATGCAAGCTTATTCATTAATACATTTTCATCTCAAATGGGTTAAATAGAGACAGCAGTTTGTAATGAGAGGCCCCCAGCTCACCTTTGTGTTCCCCATGTTTGAAATAAATCTCTTATAATGAATAAAAAATACACTGTATACGTATGCATAGGTAGAAGGAAAATCACAGTGGGCAAACAATAATGGCACTAAGCAAATGAATGCTTCATGCTGAGGAAAACAAGTTACTTCAACACCTTGAGCTCCACTGTGATAATCAGACAGCAGGAAAGTGTCCTCCTCTATTTAGGAAGCCAATAATCCATCACAATGTAAGGACCAACCGTTTCCTGCCTGGTTTCTCTCATTAAGACATCAGATCTGCCAAAATTAGTGGTAATTCATTAAAAAAAAGTTCATTTCCCATTAAAAAAATAAATAAATAAAGAAGTGCACTTCTTGCATTCTCTGGTGTGAGCCATGTGCTTATCTTCAGCCCCCAAATGTTCTGCTGGAAAAAAGCAAGTCTTCTGTGCATACAGAGCCCATGCCAATTTCTTTCAGTTTCTCATTACTAGAAACACAGATATGCTTCTTTTCTTCTTAAGCACTGCTGCATATCACTGCTGATCTCAGTAACAAAGTAGATGACTGAGCAGCCCCCTCCAAGATGGATCGTTTCCCTTATTGCCTTGGAAAGGCAAAGACAACTCAGGCTGCTGCTTCCAGCTGTCCATAACCCGCTGATGAATGGTGTGCCCTTTGTTTACACTCCTCCATAATCACCTGGCTACAAAAACTAAAGTTCTACATGACCTGCAGTGCTTTGCTAAGAGAGCTGTTCTTTCTTTTGTTCACTCGTTGCCCCTGCTGCCAATGTGAGCATGCAGCACTGCAGTTCTTCTATGGGTGCTGTGCCATTGCTAGCAGCTCCTCTGGGCAAACTTCAGGTGAGTGGACATCAAGATGTGACTTCTCCCAGCTCTGCACTTCTGTTAAAGTGCTGTGGCCTGCATTTAAACTGGTTTGTTAGCAGTAATGCACAAAGCAAGTTCGAGTTATCGCTTCAAGGAGTCGTAGGGCAGCTGATAACTTTGCATCTGTATTTGTGAATTGAAAGCAAAAGCCAAACATTTCAGGGGGAAAAAGAGACCCCACCACCAGATGAGAAAGCAAAACCTGCCCAGGTACCACTGAACCCCTCTGAATTCCCTGGAGATGTAAAAATCACTCAGGAATGTTTGCCAAGGACACATGTCCTGAGCTCTGTAATGAGCATTCTCCACATTTTCCTCATCAATAATTGTCACAGCCACCCACAAAGCCTCACAACACCCTGTGAGATCGGTGAGAACCACATCCTGAGGGACACAGGAAGCTGTTTGCTGAAGATTATGTGGCCAAGGGGAGGCAAAAGTCAGGAACTGAACCCCAGCAGGCTGCCTCCTGCCTGCTTACCCCATGACAAGCCACTTCTGTCCTCTTTACACGATCATAAATTACATTTCCCTTAGAAGACCAACTAAGAAAATAAAACCCAACAAAACCCCAAACACACCCAATGCTTGGCTGTTACACTGCATCCCAGTGAAACTCACCTCACCAACGCATCTGGTTTGCTGAGCTGGTTATTGGGAATACAATTCTCCATTAAGTCCTTATGTGCACTCGGGCTCTTGCTTGGACACTTCTGTTTTTTCTCATTTTTAGATGCTGAAGGGATGCTCCCATTGGTCGCACTGTGACTACGTGGGGAGGAGTTCACAACCCCACTGACATTTTTGTAATTTTTGGATGAGGCAGTGCATGAGTCCTCCTTTAAGAGGTTTTCTGTACTTCCTACGAGGTCATTATTTAATCTTTTACTATTGATATGGTTTTCCATATATTCAATTTCTTGTATTTTAGAGTCTACAGGTTGCAAAATGTTGTTGTTTATTCCGAGGTTGTGTTTCTTAGCATCCTTGTCCTTTTCTTTCCCTTTTTCTCTATATTCTAGCTCTGGCAACGTTGCAGATAATTTTTTATTGGCTGGAATGCCTCCATTGTGCTGCAAAAGTATCGAGGAATCCATCTCAGATAATCCTTTGGCTGCAATACCAAAATAAAAGAAGAAAAAAAAAAAATTAGTTTGTTAAAAATCAATCAATATTATGACACAAAGAAAAACGATGGTGTCTACAACCATCTCTTCTGCTGAAGGCAATCATTGAGAGTCTGCTTGGCAAAAAGAAGACAAACCCAAAACCCAAGAAGAAAAAAATGGGTGGCCAGCAGGGAGGGGGAGGTGATTGTCCCCCCCTAATTGGCTCTTGTGAGGCCCCATCTGCAGTATTGCAATCAGGGCTGGGACCCCAATGTGAGAAAGCTCTTGGAGGAGCCACTAAGATGATCAGAGGGCTGGAGCACCTCCCTGTGAGGAAAGGTTGAAGGAACTGGGCTTGTTTAGCTCAGAGAAGACTCCAGGCAGACCTCATTGTGACCTTCCAGCATTTGAAGGGAGAGTATAAACAGGAGGGGGAACGGCTGTTTGTGAGGGTGGATGGTGATAGGACAAGGGGGGATGGTTTTAAGCTGAGACAGGGGAGGTTTAGGTTGGATATGAGGAGGAAGTTTTTCACCCAGAGGGTGGTGATGCACTGGAACAGGTTGCCCAAGGAGGCTGTGGATGCCCCATCCCTGCAGGTATTCAAGGCCAGGCTGGATGTGGCTCTGGGCAGCCTGGGCTGCTGGTTGGTGACCCTGCACACAGCAGGGGGTTGGAACTGGGTGATCATTGTGCTCCTTTTCAACCCAGGCCATTCTATGATTCAATGACAAGACCAAACCAAACGAAAGGTTTCTTTCAGCCCTCCTCAAGGATGAAAGCAGCAGAACTTTGAGGTGCTGGTGACACAAGAAAGCAGGAGGTGCAGCTCACCTTCCTCTGCCTCCCTCTCCTGCCGCTGCAGCATCTGCTGCTCCGGGGGCAGTGCCTGCTGCAGGAGCTGCATGTAGAACTCGTTCTCCTTCTGCACTTCTTTTTGTTTTCTTAAACGCATTTTGTAGCTGACGTAGCTTTTAAAGCCAAAGCCCAAACTGACGACAGGGTAACCAATGCTATGGGGGGATAGAAAAAAAAAAAGAGCAATTTTACTATTCCAAATGTAAATTAATGAATTGCAAAGCTGTGAGCACATCTGAATTGCAATTTCTCACGCAGTGATGCACAGAACTTTTGTGCTGTGCTACGATAAGGATGTAGAGAGTTTGTTACCAAGCTACAGCTCATTACAGACGGACTGATTGTAACACAAATGATTACAACAACACAATTGCATGGTGCATAGCAGTGCCAGCTGTTGGACAAGCACAAGGTGCAGCCGTGCATCTCTCCAGGAGGTAACAGCCAACTGCAACCTAGTTTTGGTCCTGAGAGGCCGTGCAAACATCTCCATATAAAAATACATCGTCTTTGGCAAGCATTGGAACAAAGCACCACCAATCTGCTTTTTGAACACAGAAGGTGTTCACTACACTGGGGAAAACTCCCATCTAGATGACTGCATTAACCATGGAAGTCTTCCCACTCTTTGCTCAGTAACAGCACCGTGCAATCTGCATTTCTAAGTAAGCTTCCAGAATGCAAGAACCATTTGCATATGCATCTGCCAGTGCTCCTTTTGTGATGCTGAGCAAAGCCAGCTGTAGCTCCAGTTTGAAAACCCTGATGACAAGCTGAGATGTCTGCATCTAATTCAGCAATAGAAAGGCTTTTCTTCACAGCTCCTGAACTGTTTTTTGTAACCTGAGCAGAATTCAGATCGTGTTTAAGGGGTTTATTGGCACAGCGTGGACAACAGAAATGAAAATGACAGATGCCAAATGAATGAGGGCTGTCCCATGGAGAAATGGAGCAAACACTCCAGGAACAAAAGAGGACACACATGAAACCCAGCACAGCCTTGTGGTACACTACAAACTTGTGGTAGAGAAGTGCACCTCTGGACAGAGAGGTCTTCCTCATTAGAGAAAATCTTAATGGAATGCATGAATCACGAGTGAAAATATTTTCCCTTCCACTCATTACGAAGGTCCAGGGTTTGTAAATGGATGACAAGAACTTCCAAAAATATCACAGATACCTTCAGCACAACCACAGGTGGTCAATGTGTAACACACGTTATGGATGGAATGCTTAAGGACAGCTGTGAGAGGGAGAATCAAACAGCCAAACCCTGAACCAACATCCAAAGACCCGGGTATGGATCCCTCTGGTTTAATAAGAAATGCTTAATAAGAAATGTTAATGAGCAAAGGGGACTTACCAGTGTGCTGCGAAGGGACGACAAAGGTCCACGTGGAAGTTCTTTAGATCTTTAAATCTAATTGCTGCTTCGATATAAACAAAAAGTATCCACAGTGATACTGTTGGTAGACACACACCCCTCTCTATGGAGGGGAGAGAGGGAAGGAGAGACAGAGGAAAAAAAGAGAGAGAAGCACCTCAGTACCATACGACAAGCAGCAGACATTCTGAAATCATTTTTAAAGGTTTCCAAAAGACAGCGGGCAATTTTCAGACATTTAGAAATGGAATTGTAAGAAGTTTTTTGCTCGATAAAGTAGCTAGGATGCCTTTAAGGTGGTTCTGAACGTCTGTTATCTCGTTTGATTGCTGTTACAAGGCACCAGTGGAAAGCAGCAGAGGTGGAGCAAACTGCACAGCGCGGCACAACGCCGTATATAGACCAGGAATGCGAGTGGAAGGAGCTGCAGAAGATGAGCTCATGTTACAGCTGCCAACCTCACAGCCACAACTGCTTTCCCACCCCAAATTCGGGATCTGCCAGGCCCAGCACTGAGCAGATGGGCTCCAGGATCCACTTATGGCAGAGGAACGGAGGGCACAGCGTGGATCCCTCCCTGCAGCAGCCAAGCAAAGCTCAGCTCAGCTCTCAACCCTCTTGGTCAATGGAAGCCACCACTGCTGACTGTGTTACTGCTGCTGTAGAATTCCACAACTCGATTACAGCTCCGTGCCCCAAACTTCATCAGGTTCTTGGCTACACGCCAACGCCTTGTGTGCTTATTTGGAAACAGGTCTCCAGGTTGGAGCTATGGGTGCTATTTTGAGGCCCTGATGTGATTTGCTCTGCTCTGTTTATTGGGCTCTCTACTTTTGGTCTCTCTTGAACTGCTTCCTTCAATGTAAATTGGAAAGCTATGGTAAAATCCCTCTGCTACAAGGGATGGTTCTGGTAGGTAGATGCACTACCTAAAAAGATCACCACTGTCTCAAAAAAAAAAAAAAAGAGCAAATTCCCATCAACTTAAATAAGCATCAAAGAAAGATTAATTCCTAAGGCTGCAGGGAAGCAGAGCAAAACAGCTGAAGTTCAACCCGACCCATCAGGTGCTGCCTTTACTCTGAGTACAGCTCGAGATAACGCTTTGACATCTTAACACAACCCTAAAAATAAACCCAGGTTTGGGTTTTGTTTTTTTTTTTAACCTATTTTATATTGGGCAGCAACTGGTTCATAGCCTTTTCCATGAACTCCCACGCTGTCATTATTACCCATGACTAACCTGTCAGGGAGATGACTGCTTCCACCAGCAAGCTGAGAAGCAATCCATGCTATCCTGCAAGCTCCCATCATCTGACTTCAAGACTAACACAGAAATATTACCAAAGTCCCAAACACTTTTGGTCCCCTAGGACCAAAAGCTGCCTTTAAGCAAAGCAAGGTGTCTCCCTGAATTAAATATATTGGGATCTATGGTGATATCCCAATTAAACAGCATATTAGTTGAGCAGTGGGCAGGGTATCGTATTGTTTCAGAGTTCTTGTGTTTGCTCAGCACTTGTTGAGCTGTGCAGGAGTGTTCTGAAGCCAGGAACTCCTGCTCACAGGCCTTCAGTTCCAGCAGTTAATCACTGAGTGATAATTAACCACAAGATGTACAAAGAGAGATGGTATCAGGCACGCATGAGGATACCAAGGATAACAAAAAGAACATTTCTTACCTGTATAAAAAGTACAATAAAGCAAATCTAACAAATAGAAGAGGGGCTCTGCATGTTATTAAGAATTAATTAAGATATATATTCGAATCTGTATGTTTTAGTTGAAGAACAATGACCTACCTGTGTGCCAGACATACTGTACCCACACATACGTGCTGGCAGCAAAGAACAGCCATTGTATTGGTATGAAGAGCAGACATATTATATTTGATGTGAATGCTACACACACAAAAAATACTGAAAAAGCCTAAAAAGAAAAGAGGGAAAGAAGAGTGTTTCAGATTATTCCAGCAACACATCACCAGTGAGTCCAGCATAGAAACATGAGTGTTACTTATACCCAGGGTAAAGAAATTACTGCACCATTCGGGTTGGGAGAGATCACTATGATCACCCAGACCAACCAGAGCAGCCTGGCTGAAGGCAGGACAGATCTGTCCAACCATGAGCCAACACACACAACCTGAGAATATCTGTGCCCCAGCCACTCCTCCTGCAAGTCCCCGAGCTGCAGCATTTACACCTGGTTTTGTTTGAAGATCACTGCCATACAGTGTTGATGTAGTGTTATCATCACTAGATTCTACTACAAATAAAAATCAGCAGCATCACTTACTCTCCCCAAGTGGTAAATATTTAAACAGGCAAGGGCTTAAAGCAAGCTCTAATAGAGGGGGATCTAAACAAATCCCCTTATCTCGGGAATTCAAACGCTATCTGCCTGCAGTGAATTATTTGACAGGGATGTGTTCCACTTCCACTTGCCACAGATTAAAGAGGCAACAGTGAGAAGGATGAGCACAAGTCACCTTGCCTCCTGACAGCTCCTTTTGTGGAAGTGAGCATCGGTGCCACTAAACAAGCTATGGAACGTGGAAATTACCCTGACACCCACAGGAGTTCCCCACAAAGGGAAGGCAGCTCTGTGCTGTACTCACCAAGCCCTGGTATCTGAAGGAATCGTAAACGCTCCTGATGAAGAGCCAGAAGGGCCACAGATACTCAAATCTGAACTCCAGGACAAAGTCTGCTAGCAGGACCAGTGCCCACACCACCAGGAACTTCAGGTACAGGAAAGTACTGCCAAGAGAAAAGAAAAGTGATCTCAGTCAGCATCTCCAATACAAAGGCTGATTTAAAAACAAAAGCAAACGACTGTATGAACTCATGAACTTTTTGCTTTAATTAATTAAAAGGTCAGGAATAAAACCTGTCAGTAACTGCAATACAGGAGAGAAGATTTCATACCAAATAATGAGACCACGGGTTGCCTTCCATTCTAATCAAGCCTTGTCCAACACAGCTGACTTACATTTATTGTTGTGGCAGCACTGAAGGCGTGTTGCTCTGACCAGACGCTCGGCCTCAAGCTCCCTTTTGCTTTGCAACGTATTTCTACAAAGCAAAGCCTGGCCAACAGAGACACTGCCACAGCTGCAGTGCTGCTCTCCTGCTCTGCGCTCCCCCATCCTCGGGGCTGAGATGTTTCTGCCTCCCCCTCCTCACACCGCAGCTGTTCCCTCATTGTCTGCCCAGCACGAACACGGAGGTATATTTTAAGCCTTTCACTACAGCCATTGGGAAGAGCGTTTCGATGCTGAGCTGTCAAAGGGGTAAATTTAAACATATCCACGTTCAAATTAATACATCCATTTAGGGAAAAAATAAAAGAAAGAAAGAAAGAAAAGGGTGTATTTGCAGCATGCTGCAGCTGCTGGGGATCCTCACCAGGAAAGCACACAGATCCCCACCACAAAGGCACACTGACAGCCTCCAAATGAGACTATGTGAACAAAACCACGGCCCAAACGCAGCAGCAGCCCTCCCCCCTTCCCTCCCCCTGCTTTGTATCAGCCCTTCCCAGCGCTGCTTCTCCCCCTGGTGCCTCTATTGTGCCACACGCTGATGCACAGCGCTGCTCTGTGACCCCACACCTGCAGTTCTGACACCCACTGATGCCTAAAATCCGGGCAATCGGTTTTCTGACCCGCGTGCAAAACGCTGGAGGAGGAGGATTCTTTTTTGGGGAGCAGCTTTACACCAAAAGAGGGGAATTGAGGTCAGGTGTGAGCAGGAGCTCCTTTACACAGAGGTCACACAGCAATAAAGCAGAATGGAGCTTTGGTGGGAAGGCTCCTCTTCTCATGTACCACCAATGGGACTCAATGGAAGCACACAAGCAGTGTCAGCAGCAAAGCAGTGGGGTTTAAAATACATCAAGGATGAGGAGTGGGAACCAAGCAGCAACAAGTCAACTTCAATTGCTTCAGCAACAACAAGCTGCCACGAACACCCCAATGAACAGCCCAAGTCCTAAGGCACCTGCAGTGCCAAAGACAAAAGATGCTAACTGCAAAACGATGGCAACAGAGAGCTGAAAAGGCGTAAGGCAAAGTTCTGAATGCAAACTGTGGAGACAACAAGGAGACCTTCAGAGCCCCGCTCACCAACCCTTGGGTGGTTTTGGAGACCTGCTGAAAGCATGGTTACGTTTTAAGGCTCACAAGGTTCTTTGCACAGGTAATGCAAAGTCTTCGTTGTGCTTTGCACATAATATTAGCTTGGGATTCTGCAGGACAGGAAATGATGGCAGCCAAAATGCAAAAAGCAGTTTCAAGGATAGGGAGGGCAGCTCTGCGTGTTTGCTGGGGAAGGTTGGCTGCATGAAGGGCAGCTGCTCCTGAACTCTTCAGCATTGCAACCCTCAGCCACATTCACCCCTCTCTGGGTGCACTGAAGGATTGGCACAAGGGTGGGAAGATTGGTCTTCAATTAAAAAGCAAACACAAATCCTACAAAGATTCAAGTGTGCTCATCAAGCTGTTTGCTCAGCCTGGCTGCTCTGTTTGTATCACTGCGATGCTGCCTCCTGATAACTGTATTTACTGGGTTTGTGTAAGCTGATGGCAGCAATTAAGATAAGTTGAGTAAATAGCTACAGTAACCAGAGTCATTTTAATGATTTGGAATTCTATCCTTACAGCTGACGTATGTAAATTATGGGGAGAAAGTGAGGGAAAAAAAGCAAAACGGAAAAAAAAAAAAAGGATAAAGAAACAAGGAATAAAGAAATCCAGGAGGGAAATGCCCCCAGCCCATTTCCAGCCTGCAGACCAGCTCCTCTTCTCTTTCTGCAGGACAACACCTCCAAGTCACCCAGTACTTCTGCTCCTCAAAGCCCCACGTGAAACAAAGGCTGCAAATCCCATTTCTGATACAAAACATTCCAGGAGAAGCCCTGGCACCTCCAACAGGTCTCACTCTGTGCTGCTCCACACCTTTCCCAGCTCTCCCTTTTCTCCCCCCCCCTTTTCCCACCCCGTGCGATGGGCAGCACGCGATTCCCACTCAAACTGTTCCAAATCACCACCGTAAGAACTTCCAAGCGACGGATGGCATCGCTGTGACAATCCAAGCGCTGCTTTCTCAGCCAAAACCAAGGCTCTCCCTCCTCCCCAGCAGGGATGGGAGAGGAGCAGAGCAGCACCACCCCAACACAAACAGAGCTGCAAACACCGCAGCGTGCGGGGTCCGCACTGAGAGCACAGCCAAACCTCTGCCGGGCTGGAAGCAGAAACGGGACAACTTTCACAAGTCAGTTTTTTGGTTTTTTTATACATTTTACACCTCCAGCAAGGTTGGAAAAAAGCCATTCGGACCACGCAGCCCAACCTGTGACCGCTGTAACCGCGTCCCTCGCTTCCAACCCGCTCCTTTCCAACCCCCCCCCCCCCCCCCCCCCCCCCCCCCCCCCCCCCCCCCCCCCCCCCCCCCCCCCCCCCCCC